GGTACCTAGGCTGCTTTGCACTGCCGCTAATTGATTGCTCACTTACACGGGCCCTGGACTGGTTGATCCCTCAACGTGTAAAGACTCATCATGCCTCCTAAATCTAGGCCTTGTCTATCCTCAACTCATCTATCCCAGTAAGAAACAGAATCACCAACGCATATGCACCGCCTGGACCCCCTAAAAAGGAACCCTCGGCGCAACAGCCCTCCAAAAGTCACACCTCTCCCCCCTCCCCCCCTCCCACGTCCTCCCATCCGCCAGCCGAAACGAATTCACGACGCCCTCCCCGCCGCGCACGTAGTAGCTCAGCTCCTCCGTCACAGTCACCAGCTCGACCTCCCCGCCCGTAGTGTTGAGGTTCAGAAACGTCTGGTTCCGCGCGCTAAACGCCGGCCACGCAATAACATTCCCCGAGCGACTACTCTCGTCATCGTCGTCAACGGGCACCGTGGCATTCGCCGCGCCGGCTTTGGCATCGCTCACGGAAATGAATGGGTTCTGTCGCGATATAAAGCTTCCCCAGATACGGCGAAAGCTGTGCTGGAACCCGCGGCCGGGGTTTGACGACGCGAGGTCAAAGTATGCGCCGAGATCTGCACCGTGATAGGCCGGGTCGAGCGAGTACTGGTACTTCCATGCGCGGCGGCCGGAGCCGGGTTCGCTGAAGGTCTCGGCGAGCCATTGCGAGGGGCAGTGGAAGGTGGATTCGGCGGCGAGGTTGAAGGCCGTCTGCTGGATGCCCGTGGCCATGCCCGAGACGAAGTTGGCGTTTGGGCCGGCGTCGCCGAGGGTGTCGAAGCGGGTGCCGTTGTCGCCGGGCTGGGCGGCGGCCGTGTCGTAGATGCGGTTGAGGGCGGAAATGTCAGACCTTGTCAGGTGGGGGAGGGTGGAGGAGATGAAGGCGTCGAAGGAGGATTTGGTGGTGATGTTGGGGTTCGTTAGGGGGACGCCCTCGTCTGCGTTTGTCTAGAGTCCGTCAGCCTCGGAGGGTACTCATCAAAGATGGGTGAAGCAGGAACATAAAGGGGGGAGGAGAGAGGTTATACCCCGATCAAGAGGTGCTTGCCGCTGACTTTGCCGCAGGCGAGCTGTGCCGAGGGCCGGTGCTGGATGAAATCGTGGTCGATGACGGGCAGCCAGGCGAAGCTGCCAAAGTAGCCCCTGGACGTCGAGACGAGGCCGCTGGCGGTTTGCAGGGCCGTCGTGTCGGCGGCGACGAGACAGTCAAACACGCTGGAGTGGTTTCTCAGAGAAGACGCCTTTCCACAGCCTGCTGCTTCGGCAAAGGCGTGGTAGTTGCCGGTAGGGACGCCATCGTCGAAGGGATAGATGGGAGGAACGTATGTGCTCGCCAAGATGATCTAGATGCAGTCAGGCATCTCACTACTGAGACTGTTCAGAAGAACAAAGGGGGCTACAAAGGCAACATACGCCGCTAAACAGTCCTTCTTCCCTCCCACCGTACGCCAGCGCCTGGTACATGGCCGACGCCGCGCCAGACGACTCTCCGCCCACAGTGACGCGCCTCGGATCGCCGCCGAAGCGGGAAATGTGCTTCTGCACCCATTGCAGGGCGAAGCGCTGGTCCAAGAGGCCCGCGTTGAGCCTGCCGTGCCGCTGGATGTCTGGAGAAGCCAGCTGGCCGAATGCGCCGAGGCGGTACTGGATCTCGACGGTGATGAAGGTGTTGTTGTTTGTGTTTATGAGGGCGCTGGGGTCGTAGGAGGCGCCGAAGACGGAGTAGCCGCCGCCGTCTGTGTGCTTGTCAGTTTGATGCCGCTTCAATGAGATGCTGACGAGTGACAAGACGTACGGATCCAGACGAAGACGGGCAGGTTCTCGGCATGAGGCGGCGCGTAGACGTTGAGATAGAGACAGTCTTCGTTGCCGAGGGCAGAGTTGAAGCCGTAGACGGACGGCACGCCGTAGGCTCCCGACTGGGGACACCAGGGGGGTTGATCTACGGCCGAGACGAGGCGGTTCGGGGTCGTGGCTTGGGGGGGTTCTTGGGGGGCTTGCCATCGCAGGTTTCCGACTGGCGGAGCGGCGTA